TTTACAAATAACTTGTAGGCATTGGGGTCAAAACCTTCTCTTGTGCGTTTTGTAGGGAGAGCCATATCTAGCACTTGATCTTGAGCGACTGACTTTTCTGGCAACTTTGCAGACAAGTTTATTGCATCAATCCGTTTGATAGGAAAAGTTAGCCCTCTTAATGCATTTTCTTCAAGGTTAGATGGTTGATGTTGTTTTCTCTTCTCCTTTGGAACATAGCAAAGCCTAGAAGTTTGCTTCTTCTTTGAAGACAAGATATTCCCTTCATTAAGAATGGGACAAGAGTCTTTAGTTTCAATTTTAACCTTTTCGATAGCTGCATCAATTCTTTTGTTTACGATATTATCAATCTTGATTGATTTGACGTCATTGGATTTGACCCCTTTAACAACATAACTTCTCATATAGAATTTCGCATCCGCAAAGTGTGTCTCCACTTCGGTGAAAGGATTATCATCTGCAACTATCTTTCTTTCAATTCCACCTTCAAGATATTTCAAACATTGATAGTAAGAAGATGAGACAATTCTGTTCTCATGTACCCAAGGCCTGCCAAGTAATATGTTGTATGATGTCTTTGCGTCAATCACATGCATCCATGCGCTTGATCGCAAATCTCCCATGTGGATCTCTAATTTAATAGAGCCTATGGACCTCTGTCCACCTTGATTAAATCCTTGTATCAACAGACGACTTTCACTAAGTTTCCCAGTCGTGATGCCAAGTTCCTTCAATGTGTGGATAGGCAAAATGTTGACTCCAGATCCTTCATCTATTAAGATTCTATTTATCTTCTTCTCTAGCACATGACCCACCATATACAAAGGACGATTGTGTAGTGCTTCACCAAATAGAAGATCGTTTTCTGTAAATGTGATTTTAGTATCACAAACATGTGCTTCTTGGGAAGAAAGTTCAATAGGTTTTTCAGAAGATGAAAGAGACATCATTTCTGAGATTTCCCTTGTTTCTTTTTCTTCTTCCCCAGGAGACACTTTTGGTGAGGATTCACTCGTTGTTCCTTCTTTTACAGCAGGAGGCACCTTCATTGATTGTTCTTTATCCACATTGAAACATGATGCCTCAACATTTCCTTGAGTAGACTTTCTATCGAATGAGCTTGGCAAGAATTCCTCTAGAGTCACAAGACGTCGAGGTCTTTGGTAGTGATGCACTTCAACCTTTGCCTTTTTGGGGCGTTTGATTGATTTTTGCTTCTTTGATTTCTTCACCATTTTTTCTCTAACCGGTTGTTCGGATAATTTTTTTCGTAGGCTTGACTTGTTGCGTCTTCGCCTAGTTACAAGAATCCAACCCTCATCATCATCTATGTCAGCGTTCTGGTCTACAGGCTCTTCTTCATGCTTTTCAGAGATATATATTTGGACCGGATCCAGTGACCCAAACGTGATAGAGGTATGGTTAGAACTAGCCTTCTCATCATCAAGGATAATTTTATTTTCGTTAGCCAATCGCATCACTCTATCCTTAAAGACAAAACATTTTTCAAGAGGATGACTCACAAGTCTATGATACTTGCAATAATTTGGGTCATCAGTTTTTCCAGCTTCATCGGGTCGCTTCATCTCTGGCAAGTCAATGAGCTTTAACTCAAGCAATTCATCAAAAATTTCAGAAACGTCAGAATCCAAGAAGGGATACTTTTTTCCTTGCATCTCCCTTAGCGTCGACTTTTGATTTGAACGTGCTTGGAAAGTCGTTCTCACATTTTGTTTTACACCCTCATTCATGGTGAACTTTGCGAGTGACACATTTACACTCATGGATTCTTTGTTGTCATTTTTGGGCAGAAACTTGCTCCATCTCTTAGGTTCCTGTTTGTCCCTTCCTTTGTGACGGTCATGGACAATAGTCATATCTTTTCCGGCAAATGTCATGCTCAACTCCATATCATGAGCGCGAGTAGCTAAATCCTCGAAAGATTTTGGTTTTATTCCTTGCAAGATGTAAAGAAGCTCCCAGTGCATTCCTTGAATACACATTTCGATTGCAGAAGCTTCACTAAGCCTGTCCTTGCAATTTAGGCTCGCGTTCTTCCACCGATTTATGAAATCTATGACTGGTTCATCCTTCCTTTGGCGAGTATTCGTGAGTTCTACCATGTTCACCGTGCGCCTTGTGCTACAGAAGCGATTAAGAAACTCATGTTCTAGTTGCTCCCAACTATCAATAGAGTTAGGTTCGAGATCCGTGTACCAATCAAAGGCATTTCCTTTTAGAAAGCGAACAAACTGTTTGACAAGATAGTCTCCATATGTTCCAGCATTGTTACATGTCTCCACAAAGTGCGCGACATGTTGTTTTGGATTTCCTTTTTCCTCAAATTGTTGAAATTTGGGAGGTTGATAACCAGCAGGCATTTTGAAGTTATCAATCCTAGCAGTATATGGCTTAGCATACATATGAGAAGACTTGGTGGAGACTTCATACTTATCTTTGATAGTGCCTTCAATAAACTCCTTCAAGCGATCGAGTGGGATCATTCCTTCAAAAGAAACTGGCATCTCTTTAACAAACGGGGCTTTCTTAGCAGGATCTTCGATTTTTTGAACTTCAATGCCCTTTCCAGGTGCATGGCTTGCATCTCCATCTAAAAGTCCTTCTATCCTGTCCATCAACTTATCAATTCGAGATTCTTGGTGGTGTACGTGCTTCGTCAATCCTTCAACCAACTTTGTCAGATTTGCGAGTTGTTCCTCAGGAGAGGAAGCAGCAGTCACCATCGTTTGCATGATCATCGGAGATGCAGGAGAGTAAAATAGTTTGTCGCGTAAATTAATTTTCAGTGGACTCACATTACGCGATATACGTGGAGATGATTCACAAGTTGAATCACAGTTCTCCCTTGTGGTAGAGTTCTTGGGACCAGATTGCTCAAGTAGAGCCAATGTCTTCTTGATCTTTTCAGCAACACTACTTCCTCCTTCTAGAGAATTTGTGGAGGAACTTGCTCCTTTTGGAGTCGAAGTCCCGAAAACAGGGGTTGATGCAGACGAAACTTGAAGCGTTTGTTGCCCTAGTGTAGCAGCCTTGCTTCTCGTAACAGCCCCAAAACTTCCAAAGGTAACACCAAGGATGTCTTCAACTTCAGTAGAGAACTTGGAGCTAGTGACCTTAGAGGCGGTTGATCGAGAGTTGTTGTTCATGGAAGTCATCTTGATATTCTTTGACGTTTGAAAAGTTGAGATGAGAGGTAGAGATTGTCCCACTAGGCGTGCCAGAATTTGTAGACAATAAAATTCGCGTCGAGAAAACAATAATCAAGAATGGAAAATTATAGCAACAATCGATTTTATTATTTCAAATGCGAGTGTTACAATCTCTATAATTCCTCTGAATTCGCCTTTTCAAATATAAATTCAAGGGCTTTAAAGCTTGTTCTTGAATCTACGATTAACTTGAACTTGAACTTTATCTTGATCTTGACTTTTATTTGAACTCAAAGGCTTCGAGCTCGTTCTTGGATTCGGTGGTCTTGATCTTGATCGTTCTTGAACTTGAATGCTTGAATTCTTAAACTTGTAGCTTTGTAGAGAATTAAATGGCGTTTGTACCACAGAGTTTCTCTAGCTTCTTGTTTAGAATTTTCTGTATCTTTTCTGAATTATGAGGACCCCTATTTATAGTTTTAGAATAGAGGAGTTAAAATTGGAATAGGATTCCGTTCAGCCAATCAGATTGAAGTGACATGGTATTTGGGCTTTATGGAGCGGGCTTGTCATCTTTGACACATGTCATGATTCTGTTGGTTTTCTTATTTGACTTGGCATGCCACATCATCTGCACACGTGGTGCCAAGATGGGCTCTAAAATGAGATGAGATTGGGCTTAACAAATTGGGTTCATTCAATGTGGCCCAAATCAATTAATTTAGACTTTAATTAAATCCATATTAATTGGACTTAAATATTTAACTCAAATATATTAATCCACTATATTTATTTGGATTAATATATTTATGAATTCAACATAATCCGAATCGTTTTATAAATTTATATTTAATAAATTTTAAATTTTCTTAATCACATGAATTTTTTCCCAACAGTTGATTTCATGTATTTAAACTCAGCATTTCAGTCGCACAAAAAGCACCAAAGTATTTACCACGATCAACATTACCAGTAATTTTCTATTTAATTTTTAAACTTTATTATACAATTCAAACACAATATTGTTTAAATATATATATATATATTTCTGTCTAGTATATATTTTTTATATGGATACGATGCACACATACAACACATAAATACTAAATTCAATTTTTTTTTAAAAAGGAAAAAAGTTTATATTTCTTAAAAATTTACCTTCAAAAATTTGTTTGATCATGAAATTTAATAAAACTTCTAATTAAAATATTTTCAAGTCTGACTAGTTTTGGATTTTTGAGATTACAATGTTGTTTTTTTGTATTTAGTTTTTAATTTCCATTAACTATTTTAGTATTCCAACTCGAAGAATTTTCCATGATTCAAACGTCAATATATTTCCAGTTATATACGTAAGTCTACCCCTGACACCGAATAACTAAATGGAAATAAATTATTTTAAAATTAAATATTTGAAATAAGTTATTGTATCATTAGTAATATAAATAACTTATCTTATAATTATAATATCAATAAAAATCGAATTATTCGTGCAGTCACAGTCCAAGCCCCACTTTCCTCCTTTGATAAATAGGCTGCTTCAACTCACATTTTTTTCAAAATACTCTAAATCTTTTTTTTTCTATGGATGCTCTAGCTCTCTTCGCTACGGTTTCTCTTATCGCCGCTAGCCTCTATTGGTTCATATGCATCCATGGCTCCGCCGAGCAAAAGGGTAAACGTGCTGTCGAACTCTCCGGTGGCTCTATCGCCAAAGAGAAAGTTGAAGACAATTACAAACAGTACTGGTCTTTCTTCCGTCGTCCTAAAGAAATCGAAACTACCGAAAATGTCCCTGCTTTTGTAGACACTTTTTACAATCTCGTTACCGATATTTACGAATGGGGTTGGGGTCAATCTTTTCATTTTTCCCCTTCTATCCCTGGAAAATCTGATCGTGAATGCACACGCATTCACGAACAGAGGGCTGTAGATCTGTTAGGTGTAAAGCCCGGAGCCCGAATTCTAGATGCAGGCTGCGGGGTTGGCGGGCCTATGCGGGCCATCGCGGCCCATTCAGGTGCTAATATTGTTGGCATCACTATTAATGAGTATCAAGTAAATAGGGCCCGACTCCACAATAAGAAAGCGGGCCTCGACTCATTATGTGAAGTTGTGTGTGGGAATTTTCTAGAAATGCCTTTTGATGACAACAGTTTTGATGGTGTTTATTCCATTGAAGCAACATGTCATGCACCAAAACTCGAAGATGTGTACAGAGAGATATACAGGGTGTTAAAGCCTGGATCTATGTACGTTTCATATGAATGGGTTACAACTGAATTATTCAATTCGGATGATCCTGAACATGTTGCGATTATACATGGTATTGAAAGGGGCGATGCTCTTCCAGGATTGAGAAAACATAGTGATATATATGAGGTCGCTAAGAAAGTGGGATTTGAAGTTGTTGATGAGAAGGATTTAGCTAAGCCACCATCGAACCCATGGTGGACGAGGCTACAGATGGGGAAAATTGCGTATTGGAGAAATCACATTGTGGTTACAGTGCTTTCATGGCTTGGAATTGCACCTAAGGGTACAGTAGATGTGCACAAGATGTTGGTTGAAACAGCTGATTATTTGGCTAAAGGTGGGGATAAAGGGATTTTTAGTCCTATGCATATGATTCTATGCAGAAAGCCTGAAAAACACTAGACATCTTCAGATTATTAATTACAATTGAGTACGATCGAAAATATTGGATTGGTTCTTTTTGTTGGGCGTATTCGATTTAAATTAATTGCATTTTTTTGATTCCTTTTGTATAATTTCTCGGAAAATACCTCCTCAATCTGTGCCAGAAATTTCAGCAATACACTTATACTATAAGGTCCTATTACCCCTCAACTTATTTTGTAAATAATTTTCTGCCCCTTTTCGGCTTACGTGACACTATCCCGTGGGTCTAACGTGTGTTGATATTTTTCTCAAGCTAGTGCCATTTAGGTCGAAAAGGGTTGGAAAATTATTTATGAAATAAGTTCAGGGATAATAGACCCTGGTATAGTATAAGCATGATTCTGAAATTTCAAATATAAATTGAAGAATACTTATGTATTTTTCTTAATTTCTAGCTTGGAATCTATGCTTATGATATAATAAGAAATAACATTTGTTATTTGTTACTTATTGTTAGTATTTCAAGGTAAAAAGTAGTAAAAGAATCACTTTTAATATCTTCTCTTTTTTAATTTGTGTGTTACTATCTTTCTTTTTAGTTTAGTCTATTTTAAAAAGAATTATTCTTTAGGATGAGGGGTGGGAATATTTTAAATTTCTTAGTCGAGAAGGAAGAAAACAAAGGAATTTTGAAATTTGATAGCACAATTCTAGAAGAAATTGGAATTTTGATGACTAGTGGGTTTTTAAATAATATGTTCCAGCTGTGTATACTATTTTGTGGGTATTTTAGATATTTTTTGTGTGATTGATCAGTATTGTGCTGGCCAGCAAAGTTGACTAATTAGTTTTGAGATTGAGATTTTGAGAAAATTAACAAAAATGATCCCTTATTTAAGTAGATTCATATTATTATTGGTGTATTCTTGGTCCTTTATTATTTGTTAAATTAAAAGTTGGCAACATTTTGTTATCTCTATCGAATACTTTTCAAATTCTAATTATTAAATTTAAGCAAAATTGCAAAACTAAAAATATTTAATGGTAATTCACATTTAATTTGAGCGTATATTTTTTACGATTATGTTATTTATTATGGTTATTTTTCAAGCCCAGTACAACTTTTATTTAGGATTTTGATGAAATGTTGTGTTTTTTCTGATTAATTCAATTATTTTTCTTAATTACAATTAAATTTAATAATCAAAGTTTGGCAATATCTCACGGAGATCAAAAGTGCTTACTTTTAACCATTTTTTAAAAATTAGTCAACCAATATAATAGCCCATTCTTTAATCTTTGTAGTTGTATGGTTAACCAATAACCACGCACTATCTTTGTTGGCAACGTGCATTAGTAATGCTAAGTATAACAATGTTTATTTTAATTACGTGATGGAATGGAATGATTATTGTTTTTTTTTTAAAGTTTTCACGACCAGTGTCTGATATCCACATTGAAATTCGACCATATTCATTTTGACACTCGATTAAATTTGAATTCGGACGGAAAAATTCCACAGTAAGGGTAAACACTCCCTAATAAAGACAACTTCATACTCAAATTAAAGGGACTCAAACTCGAAATCTTTAATTAAAGATGGAGGAGTACTTACCACTCTACCACTATTCTTATTCGTAAATGATCATTGCTTACCACACTTGAACAACGTAAGTCATTATACTCTCTCTATCCTAATTACTTATCCATTTTTGAATTGCACATGTATTAAGAAAATAACTATTGATATAGTAAATTTACTATTTTACTTTTATTAATTATGAAGTAAATGAATTGAAAATTTGAAATTTTCAAGAAGTTCTATTTTTTTAAAAGTAATAAATTGAGGATATTTATTAAAATAGACAAATAATTAGAGATAACTAAAAAAAAAAAAACCTATAAACAAAAGAAGTATTATTTAGTATACCAAATTATTACTTTACCACAATAAAGGTGACATGACAAGTGTGTATGCTTTTGTATTTGTAGTTATGAGTCATACTTTTTATACATAAAATAACTAATAAATACATTATTAATATACTTTATTCAACATTATTTTTATAGATCATATTGAAAAATCTCTAAGGTAGCACAACATGTGCATGTACTTTGCATTTGTTGAATAACATAGTCTTTGTGATCTCAATGTGGTTATGGTCATATAATTGAATGTTTAACTAATTAAAATGATATTAAAATCAAAATTATAATCTGAATAACTTATCATATATTAACTTAATGTTAGAATTATAATCGTGGGCATGCATGTGCATGTGCATTTTTCAGCCTTCTAAAAATGCATTTGACATGTAGCATCACATGAACTGCATGCTGTGCCTCAGAAATATATATAAAAAAGTCTACATGTTGGGGCATGTCATTTTGGTATATACCATTACTTTAGAATTATTATTAATTAACATATATACCTCAGATTCTTCTGATACACATTCTAGATAAATAAGGTCATGCCATAAGTGCCATAATCTTATAGTGTTTGATTACCTAAATTTCATGTTCGTAAAATAATTTTTAATATTATCTCGAGAGGTAAAAATTGTTCATTATTATATAAAAATGAAAGATAGTAATTCATTTCCTCGTTAATATGTGACAATTTTTATCATCACATGCCCGCGACTAGTTAGCGGGTGGGCAACCTAACAGTAGGCCGAGGGATGGGTCTAAAGCCTTAAAAGAAAACACCATTGTGTTAAGTTCTTAAGGGTCTCATTTGTTTTTAACAATAATAGATTATAGGGAAAAAGGCATAAATTTCTTCCTAAACTTGTTATGAAAAGTCAGTTTACACGTTTATGTTATTGTGACGATCTATTACATATCTGGATTACTTAAAAGTGAATTTACTTCAACTCTGACGCACATAGATCAGTCACATGATGAGAAAGTGTTTCACGCTCGCGCCACGTCAGCACCATGTCGCTGCCACATCAATAATTAAGTCAGATTTTTGGAAAAAAATAATTCACGTCACCTCATGCCTTCTTCTTCCTTCCTTATACACCATAAAACCCACCATTAAATTACTACCATTGTTGCTATTATCATTGAATTCACTTCTCCACAACCATAGATTTCACCGCCTATAATCAAATTCCCCATCGGAATCTTCTCATTACCATTGTCATCATAAAAAATCGATAACAAACGTTATAATTTAACTAATTAACCAACGGAACCATATCACTATCGTTGAAATTCATCACTATCATAATAATAAATTCACCATCCACATCAAAATCACGAATTTCATTGTCATTATCGAAATTAAAAGTCATACCACCACAAATTTTTCACCCATCACCAAACCCACCACAAAAAATTATCACAATATACAATTTTCATTCAAGCTCAATGAGGAGAATTGTGAAAATTTGCAATTTTTTTATTATAAAGATTTTAGTTAGACAATTGTAAAATTAGAGCTCAATTTACTATTACTGGTTTTTAAATAAATATAGAGAGGATTTCTCTAAAGAGTGAAGAAGGATCTATGAACATTCATTAAAATGTTGAATTTCATGTAAAAATCCCAAAAACTTTTTATACACACAAAAAAGCAAGATTTAATTATCTTTTTCAAATGCTCACAATCAACAAAAAGACACAAATAAATTGAATAATCCGTTCTTGACTTGACAAATTTGATATGGAAATAATGTTTGTGATAAGAAAAAATGGAGGACGAAGAAAGATAGGAAAACATGAAAGAGAAGGGTGGGGGTGGGAAAAGATTTGCCCTTTTTTTACTCAAACGCGTTTTTTTAAATTTTATTTCCTTGTCAGCTTTGAGGGTGGTATTAAATTCACTTTTGAATAGTATAAGTGTTAATAGGTCATCTCAATAGTTTCAACGTGTAACTGACTTTTCGGTACAACTTCAAGGGTGAATTTATGTCTTTTCCCTAGATTATAGTTGTCTTTAAGAAAAAAAACTATCTTATTAGATAACTTTATCGTTATTTAAGAGTTTTTTATTATATATTGTGGAAGATGCACCTACATATATGTATCTATACTACTAGATGCACTAAAATAGGGAGAGAATCGAGCGAGATAGTTATTTATTCCAGATACATGTGAATCACATTACCATTAGATACATGTATATGTATGTATGTATGTATGTATGTATGTATGCATGTGGTGTAATTAACATTTATTGGACATGTATGTATGTATGTATGTGGTGTGATTAACATTTATCTGGCGTACAAAATACATAGGAAAGTGGTGAGCGAGAGTTAGGAACACTATCAGAAAAATGTTAATTACATAGAGATTTTTTTGGGATTAGTGTGAATATTTGCAGGAAAATAAGTTTCATGCGGATTTTCATACTAATCCTTAGGTTAATCTCCATGTAATTCACAGTTTTCTTATAGTGGAAGATGAGCAAGATTTATTATGTATCCTAGATACATGTGAATCCACTTGGATACAGTATATCTAGAACAAATTACACTTGACTTATACCTTATACATTCTGAAATACACGTATCTTGACGCATAAAAATCTGATAAGATTCGTAATATTACAAATCAGAGTATATTCAAGTAGTTAGCTCCTAAACTAGTGTAATTTATGTAAGTTTTCCTACTTTTTAAAACAAATATGAAGGTATTATTTGTAGAAGATGCAACTTTTTTGTATAAGAAAAGAATTATTAAAAAAAAGTTTGACTCATTCAAAATGTTGTATCTCAAGAAAGATTAAATAAATTAGCGATATTTTGATTGAATATAAATAATTAGAAAAAAATATTAATAACTTTGCATTCTAGAATTATAGACTTCATAAGTTTTTTTAAAAAATAATCAAAACCTCCATTCAAGTTAGCTTTAAGTCACCATTATGTCTGAGCCGCCCCTAATTTGGCCCAACACTGAGAATGCTATAACATAATGTGTTTGACTTTATTTATGTCTGAGCCACCCCTAATTTGGCCTAACACGGAGAATGCTATAACATAATGTGTTTGACTTTATTGATTTTTTCGTATATTATATATTGGAAAAATGATAAATACATATTCCAACTATCATAAACGTTATATATATACCGTCCATCATATTTTTGTGACATTGGTATTTTTGCTGTCAAAAAACAAGAGCATATATACCATTTATATTAACGGACATACACATGTCAAAATTTTATTCACCGACCGATATTTACTAAATATTGGATCGACGGATAAGATTGTGACGTATCCCTATTTAGTTTTCCATTAGAGTGAAGGACATATATGCTTTAGTTTTTGAATGGCAGGAATAATGTCACAAAAATATAATGGATGATATTTACAATAGTTCAAAGATATATTTGTTCTTTTTTCCCTTATTTTTATTTTAAAAGCAAGAGATATATTGACTTGTGACTTAGGAAAGAAGAAATAAATAAAATAGTTATACAAATTTGGTGTCTTTATTGGAAATTTTATGAAAAATACAAATTTACTAAGAAGGAAGTCTATGT